CCCATTGGTAGACAATGGGATATCTCCTCACAGAAGGGTCACAAGGAAGGGACAAGCCAACCAGGGTGCAGTACAGCGCCGACAAAACATACATTTCTCTAGTTCTTTACTGCTTCCTCCCCCACCCCTACTAGCATGACATATCCAGCTAGCCCAGAGCATGTACACTAGTACACAGACAGGAGGTCTCACCACAGGGAATCCAGGACAGATAAATCCCTCAGGAACAATAATGAGAGTACCAATACCATGAGGGTAGGGGAAAGGCGGTGGGAGAAAGGGGGAACCAATATCAATGATCGACATATAACCCCAGATACAACACCCAGGATAGAAAACAACAGAAATATGGGTGAAGGGAGACAGCAGATGGTGTAAGATATGAAAGTAATAATTATTTATAATTTATCAAGGGTCATGAGGGTGAGAGGGTGGGGGAGGAAAGGAAAAAAATGAGACACTGATACCAAGGACTTAAAGTAGAAAGAAAATGTTGGAAAAGGATGATGGCAACATATGTACAAATGTGCATGACACAATGGATGTATGGATTGTTATAAGAGCTGTAGGAGCCCCCAATAAAATTATTTTAAAAACAACAAATAAAAGTAGAACAAATGGGGAAAAATTGTCTTTCCACTTATATGTCCTTACCCTATTTTCTTCATATGCTCAAGAATACAGTGAGTGTTTAGGTATCATTTCAATAACTCATGAGTCTCTTGAAAGGTAAGATTGGCATGACATAATTCACCATGAAAAGGTGCTGAACTACTTAAACTAAGGAAAGAAACATTATTAACCGTAAGCTATATTTGATTATTTTCCTATTAGAAATAGAAAATTCATTTGATATGTGACATAATGTGCATTTCTTAAGAGAAGCTAGAACATTTTAAATAGACTTGACTTAGGACGTCTTGATAATTCTGAATCAAGTCAGCATGCTGCCATGAATTTTTCAATTGAGTGATGGCATTTCATTTTAGGTAGGAAATAACTCACTAGAAACAGCCTTGAAAGAAAGAAAGATGTCCATCAGGTAACCCACGTAAATAATTATGGTTTCCTTACTTGTAACCAAGTTGTCGACAGATGACAGCTGCATCCTTATCAGTCCATCCATCATCACAGATTGTTCCCCACTGGCCATTGATGAAGACCTCCACTCGTCCTTCCTTCTTATTTTCTCCATCCATCAGTCGGATAGGAAAACCTAAGTCATGATTCAACAACATTAGAAAAGCCAGAACAAGCAAGCTGATGCTAAACATGAGTGACTACAAAATAGCTTTTCCTTTCAGAAATCATCAGCTATAAAGTCCTCTGGGCAGTCCCTGTCAGGGGGGCCGAGCTGTGTGGAGCTTTGCAGAGCTGTGGGACATTAGAGTCGTGGGTTGCGGGTGAGGACAAT